ACACTCACATACATGTGCATTCCACACTCACATACATGTGCACACATGCCAAACATGAGCTATTTGCACGACTTTTAGGAAGCTGAAATGGTCACTAGTTGCCTCAGACTTTGACTGACACATCTCCTGGTTTCCTGCATCAATCCCAGGGGAGAAAGGGGAAGCAAAGAGCCTCAGTTCAGCTTCCCATAGTGCTCACAGTCCGGAAACACAGATGTGTGTGCAGAGTTGCACAGCGGTTCCACGTGGCAGGCTTCAGGGCTGCAGGAGCTGGAAGCCCCGCTAAGCTTGATTTCCCTTCCCGCAGGTGGACCTGAGCTTCAGCCCAGCCCGAAGTCTCCCTGCCTCACAGGCCCATCTGCGTGTCACAGCTTCTCCTCAGTCCCTCTGTGGCCTGAGAGCAGTGGACCAAAGCGTGTTGCTCCTGAGGCCTGAAGCTGAGCTCTCCCCTTCCTGGGTGAGTCCCCATCAGCCTCTGCCCAAGGGAGGCCAACAAGAGGCTCTGAGCAGGAGGAGGCCCTGGTGCTGATAAAGCCGCCATCCATCACCAGGGCTCTTTATGTAAATACACTGCGATTGATGCTAAGGGAGTCTCTAGGGAACCCTTCACTGTACAACCAGAGGAACACGTCAGAAAACATGAGCCAGAAAACTCCAGACAAACCAGGAAGTGATGCAGTCAGTGAGTTGCAAAGCTTGTGTGTGACCCAGGCCCTCTGTGTCAGGACTGCATCCTCCTACCCTAGGAGTGGCTTGTGCCCTTCACAAGCTCATGATGAGGTGACGCTGCCTGTGGGAGCTGAACGAAAGTGTGTACACATGGAATCTTGTACATCTCAAGAGATTCCCAATGAGAAAAAGACATAATGACTTAAAGTTTTTAAATTTTGTAATACAAGGTTCTCAACTTGCTTTGAAAATTCTCAGAAGCACAAATGAAACCGTAAACTATGTCCAGTGTCTTGCCAACTGAATGCTAGTAAAGCTCTTCTTTATATTGAAATAAGAATAAGATTTATTAGGAATAGTTACATGATCACTGTAATAGCTTAAAATTTTGATTTACTCTGCCTAAGAGTATGTTTTCAAAACTAAGGGACTAATGTGAATTTAAAAACAGAAATCTTTAGTCCAAATAGTTCTGGGAACTTACCAGTTTTAAAACTAATGTGTGAGTTGAACTGGAATCTAATTTTATTTACATTGAGATTTTATGACTCACATGCAGAAAATGCTTTAGAAAGAATACTGCTTAAATGTTTTTCTTTTTGATTCTGACTTTCCCCAAATCTATTAAATAAGAGATTTCTGGAGCAAATTGTTTCAGCTGACAAATATGGGTAATTAGTTAAAAAATGTGCATACTGCCTGAAGGGATATGACAAAAAACAAGATGGCGGTCCCTTGCTCCCTGCACTCTGCCCTATCCATACTTTGGGAGCCTGTCCTTTCGATGATTACAGCCATTTCTTGAGCAGTCAAGTGATTTGCAGTGAGCACACTAATCGCGTTCTTTTCATGTCTTCCAAGAAAGAGGGCCTCCATGTCTCCTGTGTCTTTCAGATCTACAATCTGCCAGAGATGCAGCACAAGGACCTTACTCCAAGATCCCACCAGCTCTCTAAAGACTATCATTGTATTATGGGTCATAGAGTCACATACTCAGGACCAGGCGCATATGACAAGGATGCCTATGACTACATAGAGGTAAACCATATGATCCATTAACATGCTGTCTGTGAATTATTTAGGTTTAATGAAACGCTTTATTGGTCAAGAATTTTAGAGTCAGGCTGGGATGTAAGCCACTGCCAGGCCACCCACCTTACATGTGGGCGATGGGTTCAATCCCAAGCATTCCAAAAACTGCATTTTGGAAAGTGCCCATTCTAGGCTAACTCTTTCTCTCTATTGACAAAAGTGGCACAGAGTGGGTGAGTGACTTTTTCTTTTTATTACTCTGGTTTTTTGAGACAAGCTCTTACTTGTGGCTCTAGCTGTCCTAGAATTTACTATGTTGACCAGGCTGACATCAAATGACAGAGATCCGCCTTCCTATGCTCTGCTTCTGCCTCCTAAATGGTGGAATTGAAAACATGCAACACCATGCTTGACTGAGTGACTTTTTAAAGTAACACCAATTTCCTTTCTAGGACATGGGTTTACAGGCCTTCACCAACTTGAAGATCAAATATCCTAAACTATGTCCTTACATTGACTATGCGCTAACAGCAGGTAAAATAACAAATCAGCTTGTATTTTAAGAAAAAGTAAATGTGAATTATATATCAAGGATGGTAAAATAAAATTGTTGAGCATGTATAGCATCCAAATAAGAGAGAAAGAACACAAACTTACTTGAGAAAAATGTGCCCAGTTGTCTGCTGGTACTATAAAGAAGTTAAAGTTCCTTCGCTGTGAAAAAAAGACAAAGTGCAGTAGTTGCTGTTACAGAGAATCCTTGTTTGAAGTCTGAAGAACTTTTGTAGGACTGTCATGAGAGGTGAGGAAAATTCCCTAAGTGTTAGGGATGAAGAAGAGAGGGAAAAAGGTGAGGTGGATAAATAAAGGTGAGGAGGATAGTAGAAAAAAAAAAATTAAAAAGCACCTGAGTCAAAGGCACATTCTCACTCCAAATTCAACCAGCTAACCATTTCAAGGCTTTCCCTCTTCCCTCATGGGAATCACTTCCAGGGTGGCCACACCATTTACATTCCCACACCAGCAAATGAGGGTCCCCCCCCACACACCTATCTGAACCTCCTTACCTACCCCTACCCCTCCCCCCTCCTCCCTGCATCCTCCCTGGGACTAGCTGACAGTTGTTTTGCTGCCCTTTGCTGTTCCAACTGGGATGAAACGAAATCTCAAACTTGTTTTAATATGCATTTCCCCGTTTGCTAGCATGATGAACAAAAAGTGTTCATTTCTTAGCCTTTTTTATTTCTTTTGAAAACACCATTTAGATCCACATCCCATCTTTAGATTGGGCTGTTTGTTTTCCTGACTCTTTGTTTTTTTAGTTCTTTATATAATCTGGATATTTATCCTCACTCAGGTATTTAGCTAGCAAAGATTTTCTCCCACTCTGTGGCTTCTGCTTCAATCCCTTGATTGTTTCCTTAGTTGTGCAAAAGCATTTTAGTTTTCTTAGATCCCATTGGTCTCTTATTGGCCTTAATTTCTAAGGAAAAGGTCTCATTCAGAAAGTCCTTTCCTGCACATGTATTTTGTAGGGTTCCTGCAGTTTAAGGTTTCATGTTGAGATCCTTGATCCATTTGGAGTGGATTTTTGTGTAGGGTCACAGATATAGGTCTGCTTTCATTCTTTTATATGCGAGCATCCAGTTTTCCCAGCACCATTTGCTGAAGATGCTGTGGGTCTGTGCGTTGGCATCTAAGCCAATTATCTGATGGCTATAACTACATGAGGGTCAAATGTCAGATGGCTATAACTACATGAGTGTGTGTTTGGGGGCTTGTATTTTGTTCCATTGATCTACATATCTATAGTTGTGCCAGTAACAGGCTGGTTTTATCACTCTACCTCTGTAATATAACTTAAAATCATGGATCCCTGTCTTCATTATTATTTATACTCTACATACTAAAATTTATTTTTATTTGTGTGTTAACATAAAACATGATTCTGACTGGACTTTATGAATTTACCTAATAGTGATTTGGAAAGAAACTGAAATATCTCCACAAGTTTCTAAAAGCAATAGGACCTGAAGCCTGTGACTACTCTACACAGTGAATAAACTGGGCAACTGCCCCTGTAGATGCTTACAGTAATGAGTGAAGAACCTAGACACTAGAAAACACCGAGGAAGTAACGGCAAAGAGAAAGACAGAGGCCAGGCTAGAGGCTGTGGCCATCACAGAGAAGGACAGGCAGAAATTAAGCTCTCCATGTGTATACATACTAAAATTTTGGGAGAGAGCTTCCGTGCTGAGAAGTCAGTTGGGAAATAGGTAAAGCTCTAACCTGATCTACATGCATATTTGTTCTTAGAAAAAGCAGAGGACAGACCCTCTGTTGCCAGCTTTGAAACTAAGATTTCTTGTCAATAGACACAAACCAATGCTTTGAGTGATAAACTTCCTAGTTCTGATCTAAGACTTTGTACTTATATCTCTTTAAGTTTTTATATGAATTGAAAACCTATTAAAATGGTGGATTAATCCTGCAGATCAAGAGAAAGAAAAACCACTGCAAGAATATCTCTGCTGATAATGTAGACACCATTCAGCTCTTGCCCAGAGTGATTCTCACTGTAGCCACAGGACCTGTTTCCTGGGAATAGTAGTATGGTTCTGCATTACTCCTAGGGGGAACATTATATTTGTAAACATTCCCTGACTATGCAACCCAAGATAAGATGCATCATGCTTCTTTCCCACTCCAACTACAATCGCTGATTTTTTTTTCCTCCAGGATTTCATAATTTCTGCTTTTGACAAAGATGTTACCCACTCTTGCCCAAAATGAGCAGTTCAATGCATAATTTCCAGTGTAATTGTAATAGTATTTAGCAGCTGTGAAGAAACTGAAAATTAAGCTACATTCACACTGCGCATTGAATCCCATTGTATTCAAGTACAATGTTCATTTTGTCCATTGCACCTTCATAGAGTCTCCAAACTTTGATCTTGCCGATGCCAGCGTTGAACCTGAAGTTACGGTGGCAAATAAAAACCTTTTCCATGGAGATCCAACAATTGAGACCTTTCGAAAATATTTTCCTGAAACCTGGATCTGGGATTTAGTCACAATAAAGTAAGTAATTTCCTTTTGTATTATTGGGCTGGGAATGAAACTTTTCTTTGTTTTCTAGTATTTCTCTAATTAATTTCTATCATAAACAAAGAAAATGACTAACTTAAAAAACACAGCATATCCACCCATCAATCATGAGATTTACGTATTTCCATCATGCCTAAAATGCACATGAAAATTATCATGTACCTTTTTGATGCTTTAAACCGTTCAGGAACGCCGTGTTGAGTAGAAAGTGAGGCAGTCCTTCATGGAGTAGGCTACTAGATTCAAACATAGAGTAGACCATGGAAGCCATGAAGTTGTTGTATGGTATTTCGGAGATGGGAGTTCCGAGACAACTTCAAATCTATGTTCAGATTTCCACTACTACACAGATTTTAAGGTTACATGAGGCTAAGATCTGAATTGAAAAAACAAGATTACAGCAAGACCTTTTATTTTCCATCTGGAGTCCTGTTTGCACTGTTCACTCCCTATCACTCCTTTGAAGGACTCGAGGGATGCTATTTCATCACGACCATCTGTTATCATCTGAGAAATAACTAATACACCAGCTCCCTTTCTGTGCTTCACATTCTCACTCTCCCAGCTCCTCAGGTGTGGCTGAAATGGAAGTGACAGTCCCTGACACCATCACTGAGTGGAAGGCCGGGGCCTTCTGCCTGTCCAATGACACTGGACTTGGGCTCTCTCCTGTGGTTTCTCTCCAAGCCTTCCAACCCTTCTTCGTGGAGCTCACGATGCCCTACTCTGTGATCCGTGGAGAAGCCTTCACGCTCAAGGCCACTGTGCTGAACTATCTTCCCACCTGCATCCGGGTGAACACCTTTCCGAATTAAGCATGTCTAGAGGGGAAGAGGCAATTGGTGTATATAAACTGTAACAAGGAAGTACATGAAAAGAAGGAAGAAAAGGAGGAAGGGACTGTACTGGAGCCAGCAGCCCAGGTTCCAAACACTTACTATCCAGACTCTAGCTAAACACAGACAACAGAGTTTACTAATATGGATCCTACATAAGATGTATTGGGTGATTTTTCCAGTGTTTGCCCAGTACATACTGTACTGACAGAGGCAGGACATTCCATGTGGCCTCTGAATACAGTCAAAAGACACAGTTCACATAGATCTACAAAGCTCTTTTACAATAGATTTTGCTTTGGTTAGAAGTAGGTGTAGGTTATCTCCATGCATGGTACTTAGTGCGAGTATGAGTCTCAGGAAAGACCCTGTTTTCAAATTTTTTGGTCCTGTTGCTCTCCTTGTGGAGCTCCTGTCCTCTCCAGGTCTTACTATTTCCCACTTCTTTCATAAGATTCCCTGCATTCTGCCCCAAATTTGGCCATAAGTCTCAACATCTGCTTTGATAGTCTGCAGGGCAGAGCCTTTCAGAAGCCTTCTGTGGGAGGCTCCTAACTTGTTTCCTGTTTTCTTCTTCTTCTGATGTTCAACCTCTTTGGCTTTTGCAATGGGGATTGAGCATTTTAGCCAGACACCTCCCTAGAACCCCTGTACAGATGTAGCTCATGGCAGTTCAGTGTCCAAGTGGGTTCCATACAAATGGGAACAGAGACTGACTCTGACATGAACTGATTGGCCTGCTCTTTGATCACCTCCCCTTGAGGGGGGGAGCAGCCTTACCAGGCCACAGAGGAAGAAAATGCAGACACTCCTGATGAGACCTGATAGACTAGGATCAGAAGGAAGAAAAAGAAACCCTCTCCTACTGGTGGACTTGGGGAGGGGCATGTGTGAAGAAGGGGAAGGAAGGGAGGGATTGGGAGGGGAGGAGGGAGGGAAATGTTGGGGGGGATACAAAGTAAATAAATTAAATTAAATAAATAAAGTAAATTGTAATTAAAAATAAAATAATTTTAAAAAAGAAGAAAAAGAAGTAGGTGTAGACTTCAGTAGTTAAAAATCTAGTACAGTGAATATCTTTCTGTCATCAAAATAAAACAAAGATAAATAGAGAAATATATAATTGTCTCCATATTTGTTTGGGTAGATAATACACAGATGACAGCTAAATAACATTCTAAGCATGTATGTGCATATGAAATCCATGCAAGCCTTCTGGGTCAGCTTATATGACACTTTAGGCACATGTTTTCCACCAGCCCCTCCTGCTCTCTTTCTAACACAAACCCCCTCACACTCTTTCACCTACCTCCTCCATGCATGTTGTCCTTGCACAGTAATATCTTCGCTATTTCTTTTCCCTGTGGGACCACAGCTGGGTGTGCAGCTGGCAGCCTCTCCGGATTTCACAGCTGTCCCGGTGGAGAAAGCCCAAGATTCTTACTGCCTCTGTGCCAACGGGAGGCACACCACATCCTGGTTGGTGACTCCCAAGTCTCTAGGTGAGTGAAAAGTTTGCAAGGGGACTCTACCCAGAAAGGGTGGGTGTAGGCAGGTTTCCTAGATTGCATCCTTCTCATTGGGTCCTCAAGGGACTCTCAGTCACTGCTGCTTCTGGCCCATGCTTACCCCCTTCACCAAGACAGGACAAACCCTTAAGCTGCTCAGGACTGAGGATTCCTTGCAAATCTTGGGGCTTTGGTGAATGCCAAGTTCCTGGCACATCTGAGCTCAGCTCTATGGACCATGTGTTTCAGGAAATGTGAATTTCTCTGTGACTGCAGAGACACTGCAGTCCCCAGAGCCCTGTGGTTCTGAGGTGGCCACAGTCCCTGAAACCAGGAGAAAGGACACAGTTGTCAAAGTCCTGATTGTTGAGGTGAGTAACCTCCTCGACTGGCAGTGTGCTGAGTTCAGAAAATAAAGCAATGTTGACGATGTCTAGGTGAAAAATAAAAGATGATAACATGTGACCTAGAGATATTTCATGGCAGGTGGCAAGCCCATGCTTTTCCATCAGCATGTGTTTTGTTTGTTTGTTTTTCCCTTTTTATTCTCTGAGCTGAAGCTTGGGGGATGGTCTATGCCAGTTTATCTTCTTAGAGCTGTACCTCCTTCTTTCAATATTATGCACCCTCACTTTTCATTGTTCTTTCCTTATTACTTTCTTTTTTACCTGGCGTGTCCAAATTTAATATTTACACCATTCCTGAAAGGGGGAAAATTAAATCATCTAATTCCAGCCCATGATCTCACGTGTAAAGAAACTGTCACTCAAAAAAAAAAAAAAAAGCCTCCAGAATTTTTGTGCTTTCACACTCAGTATTTTCTCATGTCTGAACTTTGTGTCTTTCCATCCAAGCCTGAAGGAATTCAGGAGGAGCACACCTTCAGTTCCCTGCTCTGTGCATCAGGTGAGGAGCCCTCAAGACCGCAGTAAGAGAGTAACCTGAGCTGTCTACTTAGGTCTCCTGCAGTATTCCTGTAAGAAAACCAAGACCCTATGTTCCTTATAACCACTAAAGAATCAACAAAATTGAGTCTCAGAAATTATCAAGATCGTCACCTGCCTGATGTAGCTATCAAGAGTATAGTCATAGTTCCACCTGGGACTTCAGAGTTCATTGTAGCCTTTTTCTTTAGAACACAGAAATCTTTGCATCTAGCCCATCTCAGTACTTAGAAACTTATAGGCAGGGAATAGCTAAGAAGAGGTCACAATCAAATATTTCAAAAAAAAATTGGCAGGGGGAGTAGGGGTGGAAATATAAAAGATATCTTTGGAAGGCCAATCTTTGTATCGTTTTAGATCATAAATAAAAACAAAGATTTTTCTGGCTGAATTAAATTCCACATATAAACCTAGTTCATCATGATGTACACTTAGCTTAACACTTTTCTTTAATGGTTGTTTTTATGACTAGCTCTTTTATCCCTGCTCCTCACTGGAAGCTGTCTATCCCAAAGTAAATACAGCAACATATCATACAAGGGAAAAGGAAAGCTCACTGTCCCCTGTGAAGGACCTGCATAAGAGCTGAGGTGTCCACTCAAAATAATGGCTGTGTTGCCAGGACCTCTATTAGTGTATGGGCATGGTGCCTGCTCAAAACATATTTGTCAAAAGGACGTTTTAAATGGAATAATGGTTTAATTTAACCTAAAATCCATTATTATATGAAAGTTAACAAAAGATGAAATAAGGAAATTTCTCTGTAAAAGGGATAAATTAATGTAACAGTCACTAACACACTGGATAGGAGAAAATTATCATACACTACTAAAATTCATTAAACATTTTCCATGAAAGAGAGAGCAAGAAGGGGGTCACTGGAGATTGTTGTGGAAAAGTGGCAAGGATAAGATAAAAATGCACTGTTCTTCCCACGGATCAGTTCTGGTTCTCCTGATACTTACACTTTCACAAAGTACTCCATCCATCACCCTGCTACAGAAAAGCCATCCATGACAGCTGTGTAGCCATGATCAGTGAAACCTCCAAGGCCACTCAGGATACTCAGGAAGAACAAAAGCTGCTTGGATTTATCCACCCCTCATTCTGACATACTGGAGTACGTTCACCCAGTGCATCATTTCAGGTTTCCATTGGTGTGATAAAACACCAAAAGCAGCTTGGTGAGGAGAGGTTTATTTCAGCTTTTGTGATCACAGTTCATCACGAAGGGAAGACAGGACAGGAATCTCAGGGTAGGAACTGAAGCAGACGCCGTGGAGGAAAGCAGCTTACTGGCTTGCTCTCCCTGACTTCCTCAGTTTTCTCTCTTATATACCACAGGACCACCAGCTCAGATGAGGCACCACCCACCCTGGGCCAGGCCCTGCCACATCAATCATACTAAAGGAAAATGCCCCAAGACTTACCTGCAGGCCAAGGTTATGGGGGCATTTTCGCAGCTAAGGGTCCCTAATTTTCTGAAAACACTAATATTTGTCAAGGTTCACACACACACATACACACACAAGCAGAATTTACCTAAACCAAAATTCAATGAATAAGCACATTTTCATGTATTTGTTAAGTTAACTGAATAGACGTTGATAGAAGCAGAGGCACACAGATCACAGAGACTCAGACTTTCATTTTGGACAGGTGCTTTGCTTCAAAACAATGGGTGATAAAGGGGAGACAATTGAGCCTGACAAGCCGGCAGTTCCAGGAAATGTGGATTTGTGATATTTACATCAAGATCATTTGTCTAGGGAGGCCAATTATCAAAGCTTAAGAGAAGGTTCTAATGCGAATGGCCATAGGGGACTCTGGAAATGCAGAGAACAGAGATGATTATCTCCCCTTTTTTTCTTGCTTATTCAGATGCTGGGCTATCCGAAAAATTGTCCCTGCTGCTCCCACCAACAGTAGTGAACAATTCAGCCAGAGCCCATTTCTCTGTGTTGGGTGAGTCAGTCCATCCCTGGAGGACTTGGGACAGCAGTCACTACCACTGTCCTGCCCCACCATGATTCCAAATGCAGCTTCTGAACTACTACCCTTGACCTCTACCATGCTTCTTTGGTCTCTATCCGCTCAATATCCACTGCTTTCCCCCAGCGCCCCTCATCCTTGAAACTCCTTCACATCATAGAAGCAATTCTATTGAAGGTGTTATTTTGTTCCTGAAGATAATGGCTATTCTGATGTCACTTCTCTCACCTCCAGGTGATATCCTGAGTTCAGCCATTAAAAACACCCAAAATCTTCTCCACATGCCCTATGGCTGTGGGGAGCAGAACATGGTCCTTTTTGCTCCTAACATCTATGTACTGAAATATCTCAATGTAACTCAACAGCTGACTCAGAAGATCAAGTCCAAGGCCATTGACTACCTCAATGCTGGTCAGTAAGGCTAACAAACCCCACTTTTTTCTTGTATATGTTCTCTCTAGAATGGGGTTTAGCATTGGAGGGGGAAGCTGAGCAGGGTTCCCGGGAAATCCTTTAAGCCACAGCTATGGGGGTCTCTAGCTTTAGACTTCAATTCTGCTGTTCACTGATACATTTGTTTCTTTAAAACACACCCAAATCCTTCTATTCCAGGTTA